GTACTGCGCTCTTGCTTTACCTTACACAAAATAGAAGGGGTGCCCATAAACTAGACCCCATGCCTTAATATGATGATTGAAACGGAGTTATAGGAAAGTGCTATATTCTGTTATGAAGGCATTCTTGAATTCTGTTTGTTTTCGAGTTAACAAAACATTCACTCTTGTTCTTGAATATATACCTAACTTAAACATCACTTTTTGTGATCAGTTTTTTTTTTTTCGGAACTGGAAATCCAAGAGCTGTTCTTGAGTTTGACTTCAGAAAGTTCCAGATAATGCTTCTGAACATGTGTAAAATTTCATACATATAACAGTACCTGTACTGTAATATGTATACAACATAGTTTCCTGCAATTTATAGATGATACACTTTTTATTTTACAATGGCACTGGGCATGATGTTGGAAAATAACCTTTGTGTACCTCTTGTCATCTCCCCAAAGTTGGCAGCCATAAAGCTTTAGCATTCTTTTGCTCTTTAAATAGCTTGGGTGAAGGAGGGTATTCCTTGTTGATAGCTTTAGACTTAGCCTGGTCACTGATGTGCCTTGTTTGTATGTGGTCATTTGTAGTGTTAGAGTGAACAGTAAAGGTTACCAAATAAACATGTGGTATATATATATATATATATATATATATATATATATATATATATATATATATATATATATATATATATATATATATATATATATATATATATATATATATATATATATATATATATATATATGTGTGTGTGTGTGTGTGTACACAGTGATGGGCACAGCTAAACGAAAAGTTAGCTTTGCTAACCGCTAATTTGCCAACTAAAAAGTTAACTTCGCTAAACAGCTAAAAAAATTAGCAGAAGCTAACGCTAACCGCAAACTTTTATTATATGAATTTGGCTTCGGTTTGTTTGTTTTTGCCTCTAAAACCCTTAAAAACAGACCTAGAGAGCTGAAATTTTCATATGTTGTCTTGTACCTTAGACATAAAGCTTTCCAAAAAGGTATAGCATGCCAAGATCAGATGATGATCAAGGTGTACACAAATAATTAAATGAACAAATGAAATTAAACATTAGTTTACATTCAAGTTTCAACATACACTTTATAATCTTTATTTACTGTACAAAAAGACAAAGTATTAAACGAATCCAAAAACTATAGTACTGTATAGCATAGGTAGCAAATAGCATCATGCCAAGATCAGATGATGATCAACTTATCAAGGTGTACACTGTACACAATTTCACAAATAATTAATTTGCATTCTCATACAACCTATCGGCCTTATTCATTATTCATGTAAATATGCAATACCAACCACATACACATTTTACCAGTGCATTTTTATATAACTTATTGTTGGTCTTAGTCATGTAAATAAACAGAAAACTCTAAACTTTAATGAAAAGTAAGTTTTTAGAAAATTTTGTTTGGCGCACACCTTGGATGACATCCTGGTTATGAACTTATGCAGTACAGGTACTCCCCGACTTACGACGGGGTTAGGGACATACATCCAGGTCGTAAGTCGGAAATAACACATAGAAAATCGAAAATTTGGGTCTCTTTTTCTTCTCAGCACCACAAAACACTCACTTTTAAGCTTGCCAGCCATTTTAAAGTGAATTACAGATGAAAATTTTGTCTGTGTACTGTTTTGGGGACTCAAAAATACATAATTTGACCACATTTTGGTACTACTGAGGAAGGTCGTAAGTGCGGGTGGACGTAAGTCGGGGAGTACCTGTACTTAGCATAACCAAATATATTGACAAAAAAAATCCTAATTAAATTAACAAAGAAATGAGAAATGAAATTATACATTAGTTTACAATTATATTCTTGTCACGTTTACACATGCTAACAGGCAGTCAGCCAAGAGTGCCTGACTGGCTGTTGGAGACACGCGTCGCGGTGTCACATGCTTACAACAGACAAGAACAAACATGTCTAAATTTTGTTAGCGGACTTAAATTTTGCAGAAGCTAATTGGTCCGCTAATGGTTTCCAAAGTTAGCGAAAACGCTAATCCGCTAATGAGAAAGTTAGCTTTTCTAATTAGCGGTTAGCGGAACCGTACCCACCACTGTGTGTATATATATATATATATATATATATATATATATATATATATATATATATATATATATATATATATATATATATATATATATATATATATATATATATATATATATATATATATACATACATATATATACATACATATATATATACATATATATACATACATATATACATACATATATATACATACATATATATACATACATACATATACATACATACATATACATACATACATACATATATATATATATATATATATATATATATATATATATATATATATATATATATATATATATATACATATATATACACATATATACATATATACTGTATATATATATCCACAATGTCTTGGATAAAGATGCAAGCTAAGGTGCTCCATTTCCACTGTTTCCCCTTTTCCTGTGTGATTTTATCAAGAGATATATATATATATATATATATATATATATATATATATATATATATATATATATATATATATATATATAAATAATAATAAACGGTTTATTGAAAAAGTTTGCAGCCTGAAGGCTGAAAATATACATTGGACATACTGTAAATGACTTATTACATACAGATCAATGTTTACACACGTAGATCATGTGAGCTGAGGTGTTGAACAGCAGACACGTAGTGTAGTAACTCCCTCACAGATGGTGTTATGAGGGGCATCACTTAGGGGTACTAGTTCCCTCACAGGTGGTGTTGTGAGGGGCTTGACGTGGTGTAGTAATTCCCTCACAGATGGTGTTACGAGGGGCCTGATGATGTAGTAGTTACCTCGCAGATGGTGTATGAGGGGCCTGATGACGTAGTAATTCCCTCACAGATGGTGTATGAGGGGCCTGATGTGGTGTAGTAATTCCCTCACAGATGGTGTTATGAGGGGCATCACATGGCGTAGTAATTCCCTCACAGATGGTGTTATGAGGGGCATCACGTGGTGTAGTAATTCCCTCACAGATGGTGTTATGAGGAACTTCACATGATGCTGTAGCAACTCATTCACTGCGTAGTGTCGTAGCATCATGGGGACACCACGAGGTCTATTGTCACAGGAATTCACTCACTCAAGTGGGTGAGGTGTGGTCCCAGGCCTCTCTATCGTGGAGTCTCAGGGGAATTGGGTTTTATATCTAGAAGTGTAAGTAACAAGAGTGCAGAGGTCTTATTGCAACTATATCTTGCGCTAGTTAGGCCGCACCTCGATTATGCGGTTCAGTTCTGGTGCCCCTATTATAGAATGGATATAAATTCACTAGAGTCGGTGCAGCGAAGAATGACAAAAATGATTCCGGGACTTAGAAACCTTCCATATCAGGATAGGTTAAAGAAACTTAACTTGCATTCCCTAGAAAGACGAAGAGTGCGGGAGATATGATAGAAGTATTTAAGTGGGTGAAAGGAATCAATAAAGGGATATAGATAAAGTTCTTATAATATCCGAGCAGGATAGGACTCGGAGCAACGGACTCAAGTTGGATAAGTTTAGGTTTAGGAGGAGATAGGAAGAAACTGGTTCACAAATAGGGTGGTGGACGAGTGGAACAAGCTTAGCAACTTTGTAGTAAGTGCGGGAACTCTGGAAAGTTTCAAAAGGAGGCTAGATAGATTCATGGATGATAGAGAGTGGTAGTAACTCTCGACAGGAGCTGCCATGCACAGGCCAACCGGCCTATTGCAGACTCCTTATTTTCTTATGTTCTTATGAATTATCACTGGGTACCTGGGACCTCACTGTGTGAAGGTTAGCTTGGGTAAGACTCAACTGCCGAGTTGTTTTTCACTGACTTAAGCACTGTTCACCACTATTCAACACTGGTTCCATTCCTTTCCCAAATGAAATAGTAACATCTGGCGAGAACTTGTTGATATTCCGGTGGGGAGGAGGGTTCAGGGGAGGGAGTTGGTATGGGCCAACATAACAGTTGACGTGGCTGCTGCCGAGCAGCGCCAGGTGCATCTGACCCGTCGGTGGTCAAGGATATATGTGTGTGTGAAATCGTGTTTTTGCTGTTAAACTGTTTTCGCTGCAGGAAATGGACAGTGAAATGCCTGGACTCGTACAGAACAAGCATTTCACCTAATTAGCATTGTACGTACAGTAATATGTTGATATGTATACTCTACAAGTCAATGAAAGGACAAGTACCAAATGTTTTAAGCATACTTTACATGGATATTGCTATCATCACCAAAGAACAGTTTCAATAAATTGTTCATAATTTCATGTAAGGTATGGTTCTATGGCTGTGCAATGTGGCACAGCCATAGACAGTGAGATATACTGCTATATAGCATAAGAAAAAAAATGTGACCAAGTCCCAGGCAGCTGATCTGACTTTCTGCCTCGTTTACACGCAATTGCGGGGTTTTAATTGTTTCTTTTACTTTGGCAACACAACATAATGTACACACTACAGTATATCGTTTCTCACTCGATTTATTTTTTTACTTTTCTAATTATTACTATTATTATTATTATTATTATTATTATTATTATTATTATTATTATTATTATTATTATATTTTCGCCCCAGGCCCTGAAGTGGGTCAGTGACCTGTTCCCGGGTGGGCTAATCCCCGCCAAAAAAAAAGTTAATCATTGAATAATTTTCTTGACACAGTACTGTACAGTAAAATATTTATCAGTAACCTCTAAGCCAGTTTCAGTTCAGTTATGTCAATATTGTTGTTATTGTTCACTTTGTATGTATTTTGTGACAACTGATAAGAGAACTCACTTGCACACAAGCTGCATGTGACCGTATGTCATGGCTCTAATGGATCCGTCGAATTCGATACTTTGTTAATCAAAGTATTTTAATATTAAATGATCGTGCATGTGATTCTGTCCGAGTAGGCATTGTGAGAAGTGTGTGTTGGTACTGTATTATTTTGTTCAAGTGTGGAGTGCCGGGGTTTAACTGATCTTTGACTTGGCAACGCTGGCTGCGACAGCTCCCACTTGGCTCGGAACATATCACGGTATCAGTGTGGTTGAGGACGTTGAAGAGTAAGGATATACCACTGCAGTCCTGGATCGGAAGTGTATGTACAATACTTCTATTTCGTTATGTGTTCTTTCAGTGAATGGTTTTGTTTATTCCTTATAATTTCTGTGGTCGTAAGTTATATGGGCGATGTGTAATGCGGATTTATACGAGCTTACGAAAATAGAAAAAGATCGTCTTGTCCTCATTGAATACTGATATATATATATATATATATATATATATATATATATATATATATATATATATATATATATATATATATATATATATATATATATATGTATATCGTTATAAACAGGTAAAGGGAAACACTGAAGCACCTACAGTAGCTTGCGTCTTTATTGTACTCATACTAGACAAGAGTATTTAGTCTACCTTACCATAAGGAATTTATCCCATTGGTTCAATCCTTTAAATTAATGAACGTTAATGTTGTTTTCAAATGACTCGACCACTACAAGTATATTAATTAAGAGCAGCCCAACTTGGGATATTAATGGAAATGTTTATTGTATTTTATGTAGGAATTGTAATGTAAATTGTGTGGATGAGACTGGAAAGCATTACGACATATAATAAATCAGCACAAATATAATATTAGAACAGCAGCAGAGAGCAGTGTGATTTTCGTCCATATTTAGGATATACTATACCATGTATTGAAACCGTATAAATGGATTATAAACCAACATTTGTCACAGAAAGGCTTTTGGTTGAATCACGTCAAATTTGGGAAATAATTACTATACTGTACATAAACCTTAGTGGTGGTCTGTACAAAACTGATAATCTTTTACATAAATTTATTTGTCAGTGGCCAAAGATTAAAAGTGCTTTGGAAAGTATTTGCGGTGGAGGTGGGGTAGTGGATTAGTGGGTCACATGTTATTAACCTGACCTTATGTTAAGTAAGGTCACTTTCATTTAGTTTCCCTTATTAACCCATCCTTGAGCATGGCTGGGTATGAATGGTGGGTGTGTAAATCCGGGTGACTGGGAAAAAAATGGTACTGACTAGAACTCACTAGAACTAGTGTATGACGTGAAGGCTTTCATGTAACTCAAGTACAGTACAAGGATGTGTTAATAACCTTGAACATGGAGTTAATACTACTTCCATATTTAAGTGTGCGAGTGGTAATGCGCGCACACGTACATTTATTTTGCGCCTGCTACCATCGATTCCTATTAGCACTTATTTTCCCTACAAGTCTTTACCAACCTTCCAGTTTGTTTAAACATGTTCACTTTGACCTTCTCAGTCATTCAATGATTTGAATGCTGTAACTAAATTTGTAACATTGATATATCTCGTGAGAACCGATGCACTGGCAACATTTGTCCTCGGAAGCTGAGGCCTTCGTCCCACCCTAAACCGGTACCTTGTTGTCATGTGCGCTAGAGCTAACGATAACAATACTCAACACTATACAGTACTGTACCGTACCTCATTATCCCATTCGACAACCAACGAAAATGTAATAACAAGTCAAAATGTATGATGAAGATGAATTGGAAATTGATAACTATTGTATTTTACAAGTGTTTCATTGAAAGAAATATTGAAATGTCGCCGTATTTCAAAGCCTGCCAAACGTGATTTTATTTTTAGTATACGGTGGCACTGCAGGGCTGTCGGATTTTCCGATTCTTGTTTATCGAACACGCTGATTGGTTCAAATCCGGTACTTCGTCCGTTAATCGGTAAATTGATGAGGTAGTCGGTAAGCCGTGACGTCACTGCTCCGACTGTCGGTAAATTACCGACTTTAGGAAATATGCTTTTTCATGGCTAAAATACCATATAGGATACACAGAAATAAATTGTAGATGTATTTAATTACCTTACCTACATTTTACTAGCGATATTTTAGCAGAACTACTGTTTATTCTGCTGAGTCACACACGAAGCGATATCGATACCATGTTACAATGTGTTATATAAGGTCATGTATATATTTCTTGTGCTCAGTTATGCTTCTAAATGTTTATATATTTGTATTTTTATGTATTGTCAAAATACAATTATTGGAATGTTTTGGTTAATTTTGTATTCAGTATTATCGAAAAGTAATACAAATTACAATTGATAAAATACAAATCTAATGTGATCTCATATAACACTCTGAATGGTGTATAATGCAGTGTTTATTATTCAGAAATTTATAAAACTAATGACAGGAACAATGAAACTCACCGAGTATGAGGACTACTCTAATATAATTACTGTATCTGGGATCTTCGTTACCCCTCACCACACATTATATTATAGAAAATAATAATATAACGTCAGGGACTCCCAACCAATCACAACGCGAGCAATTGAACTAATCAGCGTGTTCTGTAAACAAGAGTCGGAAATCCCGTCAGCCCTGGGTGGCAGCTGTTATGAGAATGTCCGTACTTTACAGGATGAGCGGCCATGAGTGTGTTTACAGAATTAAGTATTAATTATATTGTGCTGGTTTTAAAAAATATATTTGTTTTATTGTGTACTGTACAGTTGGCAAAACATGTTTCTTTTTTTTTTTACTCGCCTTCGCCATGTCTTATTATTTAGCGAATCTTCCAATCAGATGCAGTCATGAGTTGTCAGTGTACTGACAACAACATCTGCTTATTCACTTTCCACATTCCTTCCGCCAACTTTGGTGGCAGTTTTGATAAAATTTTTCTGAGGTTTATCGTGGTTTCTTTCTAGAGATGGGGCTTTGTCAATAACGTTCATTTACTTAAATTTAGGAACAGTTAGATTACCTTTATCATGTCATATGTAAAGCGGAGGAGATATGACTGCCATTGTGTGTAAATGATCATATGTAAAATATATCAACATTAGGTCACGCCAACCTCAAAAACTGAAATTGGAGGCTCTCATATAGTCAAAGGTATCAGGCCTGACCCGAGGAGCAAACGGAATAAGATTTAAAACAATGCGATTTCAGATTTGCCCCATGCAGCGCAAAGGCTAGTTTATTAGGTACCCGCCTTGTCTGTAATTTGTGCAAGTCGGGGCGCAGAAGCATTACAGTGCTCAACAGGGAAGCATATGGAATTTATACTTGCCATTTTAGACCTTGGTGGGTGGGCGAGAGTGCTCGAGGGGCTCTTAAACTGTAGAGACTATTGGGTACCATAATGGGAATTAGGGCTCGATTCCGGAGAGGGGCAAAGCAAACATTAGTATACCCCTGTACGGTGCAGCTAGTTACTGGAACACTATGATAACCCTGCATAGCCTACTAACAGGAAATACCTCAGCTTTGGTTACAGTTAGTGGTGGTGTGTGTTATGACGCGATATATGTTCAGGGAAGATCTTTGTGCATTATTAGATAAAATACTTAAAATAACGAAAATTTCTCATAATTTCAGTTTATACCATGTGGCGTATAATATTGAAATTAACCATAGCGTGGACGTTTGTAGATGGACGGACGGCAAGTGTATTTATAAAGATTTATTTATGTATTGGATTCCATGTGTATGCTCTCTCGCAAATTTCATCAGCAAAGAAACATTGACAGGATGGTTCTTAGTTTTAGTTAACCAGAGAGATGATCCGGCTTGTCCGATAGTATGGATGGCACCTGTAAATAGTACACGCTGGAGGGAGGGTCTGGTACGAATTGGTACAATATGATGGAGAGTATATAGGTGATCCCTCTTGGTGAATATATTCGTCATGTAATAAAATTCAGTTTATTAGGCCTCGGGTATGAAGGTGTTATATCTATTGAAGTATGGTGTAATATATTAGCTTTACCATGATGTTGTGTACCCGGTTTTTTCCTAGTGTTTTACATAAAACTGAAATTATTATAATAGTATCAGTGTCAATTTGTTGCTAAGAAATTTCCATCAATTGGGATCTTTGTCGTGAAGTATTATTTGAGTTCTTGTAAATTTGAACTCGAAACTGGTTCCTGACACTACCGGTAGCATAGAAGGGGTGATTGAAATTGCATTTATTATTGCTGTGTAAATTATACTTAAGCATGAAATTATACTTGAAGACTAATAGCGTGCATGCCTGATTATCCACCGGTATAAGTATAAAGTATTCTACACCCTTCAGCTAGGAATTCCTCACTGAATCTGAGGTGTTTATAAATGTTGATAATATGTGTACGTAGCAATAAAGCAGTTAGCATTTTTGTTTTATCAGAATGTTGCGAGGAGCAGGAAGAGCGGTGGTGCAGGTGGTGGCCCAGGCCGGTACTACTCAGGGAGGCCTGCTAAAGGTTTCTGCCCCAGCTGCCGCAACTGTCAACAAAAGATGGCAGGGGGACTATGAGCGTCACCAGATCCCCGAACGTCTCCAGTACATCCCTGATGCTGAAGAACCATCCTTCTTCGAGATGGTCGAGTACTTCTTCCACCGCGGTTGTCAGGTGAGGTTTTCAATGACTAGTAAAGATGCGGTGTCCTATTGTGGGGAATTTAGGGAAAATGTCAGTTGAGAATTTGAGATGCAGTGCCAGATGATGGAAACTAAGGTAGTTGTTCAATAAAAGCCGTGCAATATTAAGACGTGAGATGGAAATCTGGCATATGTTAAAGGAGTGTCATTATTTGATAATGAGTGAATGAAGCCGTGAGTTGGCGGTCAAGATGGTGGTTTACAAGTAGGAAAAGTGTGTGTGTGTAATCCACGAGCACCGGGTATGACCCTCTCCTCCAACCTTTCTGCCCAGGTGGTGGAGGACCAGTTGGTGGAGGAGATGAAGGACCGCATCACGCTGGAGGAGAAGAGGAACAAGACGAAGGGTATACTTAAGATCATGGAGCCTTGCCACCACGTGCTGGAGGTGGCATTCCCGGTTAAACGTGATGACGGTACCTACGAGATGATCAGCGGTTACCGCGCCCAACACTCCCTCCACCGCACCCCCACCAAGGGCGGTGAGTACCCTTATTGTCTTTTTTTTTTAGGGGATATTCACAAATCCAGACTATTATCTGCAGACTTCAACGCAAGCATATTGTTTTCGTCTTAGGTGTTGTGTGAGGTTGGTGTAGCCTCGAGTACACGAATGCAGTGTTGGTTTAAAAACGTGTACCTGTACTGCAATACTCAGTAATAGGGAAACATGGACTTACGTTACACAGGTACAAACAAGTGTGGACTTCATTGTATACGCACAACCAACTGTAAACTCTTCACACAAATACAAATATACCATGGCACGCGTTTTCAGATGTAAACTTGGATTAACACCAGTATGAGCAGGTGAACATAAATAAAGTCACATGACTTGTACACATTGATAACACTATATATATATATATATATATATATATATATGACATTGCACGTAGGTTAGGTTTTTTCCGTGCCTTTTTTTCTTGGATTCTGTGGGGACAACCAAACGAGATATGAGACGTGTGAGGGACTGTTGTTGGTGTGGAATTTGTTGAAGATATGATAAAACACGTGTAACACTTCAGTTACATTTTCTTTGCTGGAGCTAAATGTTATGTTAGGAGCACGTATCATGCACCAACATTCGATGTATAAAAATTACATGTTTGTGAATATTTATTTTGCTTTGTTATATTAAAAAATGTTACGAGGTCCCAATACTGTCGCAAAATAACAAGCACACTTCTGTCTATTTGTGTCACCCACATCACCTGACGCCGGCAGATGTGTAAGCTTGCCGCTGATTGGTTGCCGGCACTCTCACACCCCACGTGCCGGCCAATCATCAGCAACGGTTACTGGCACACCCTCCCTGTCTCAGCGAGAGAGCCAGACCGGCCATGGCGGGGAGTGATTTTCCCCATGCTCAGTCTTAGATTATTGAGATATTATCAGAATTACATAACTAATGTTGTGTCGCCATAGATAATATGCAAAGACTGTTCGAGTGTAGTTTTGTGAGGATGGGAAATGAGTGAATACCCTGTATATTACAAAGATTGTAGGAATGGCTTGTCCACACAGTTCTGACTTCAAACTTTGTGGTGGAAATAATCCACGCACCCAGTTCTTTATTTCTGGGGTCTTTATTTAACATGAATTTAATGTGTCAACAGGTTGGGTGATGATAACAGTATTCACGGTGAGAAGAGCCTTTCATTACATTAATAGAAGTCGAGTACAGTATTCGTACTGTGGGTGGCGGGTCGCTGGAACTGTAAAAGGTAGATGTGTAGTAGTCCAGTCACTGTTCCGTGTGTTGCCAGCTCTCACGAGACTTGATTACTTGCCAACTTTTAAATTAAATGTTTTGCATTTAGTTTTATTTTGTTTACGGCGTTCAGTTATCATACGTCCTTGTTTTACTCTCTGCTAGTGTCAATATTCATGAAGAATGCAATTTTTTTCAGTGAATTAAAAAAAAAACAATGCAGCGAGGGTAAAAGTTACCTACGACTACTGTATAGAGTCTAGACGGAGATTGTGTGACGTAGTAACCAGCTGACTAACCGAGATCACAAGCTGTTCTACTCCCTCTCTCTTGTGACGTCATTATCACGGGATGATCGTGTAGTACTTGTATTGCATTTAGATCACTTATAGACGATAGTGATCTTTGAGGAATTTTACATTGTTTCTAAAAAGTACTGTATGATGTAGTATTCTGTTACTTAGTTTTTTTTAATTGATCGTAACGCTTTCATTGTTTATTGACTTGTATTTCTCATGTGATACGTATACTTTCAACCAATTACCTTAGAATAAAGGGGTTCACAACGTTAATTAATATCGTGCAGCCAAGTGGATTATTTTCTTTTCATTGTAATCATGTACCGACATTTATTTGTTTTTTAATTCACTTGGTCAATTCAGTCTTTGGGATTTCTGCTGTAAATTGTTTCGAAAATGTGTTGTTTTCTTCACTGGATGGGCGGAGTTGGTGGACGAAATCGTAACCTCGTTTTAGGGGAATTTCTGCGTTGGCATCCGTGCTTTTATTTCGAGGGTAGGTTTTTTTTCCTGTGATTAGCCCACCCGGGAACAGGTCACTGACCACATCGGGGCCTGGGGGGCGAAAATGTAATACAGGTAATAATAATAATAATAATTCATAATAAATAAAACAAAAAATAATGAAATAATAATAATAAAGACATACAACAATGAAAAAAAATCAAGAGTGAGAAAAAATATATGTATGTTGTGTTGTCTAAGTAAGAGAAACAATTGACACCCTCCAATTGTGTGTAAATGAGGCAGAAAGTCAGTTGAGCAACATGGGACTTGGTCACAATTTTTTTGATGCCATATGGCAGCAGGGTTTACCATTAGACAACACATTATGCTTCCAATATCTTCCTGGGCGGTAGTACCTCCCTGTTTGGGTAGACCTTTATATATTCGGTGAGACTACTTTTTGGAGAAATTGAGAACACCACAAAAAAAATGATAGCCATGCGTCAGGCTTTTTTAGAAATAGACTTGCCAGGTCATATACCAAACTTCGACCTTGGAATTGTACAGTATTCTCGAAGCACAAGTAACGGCGGTTCTTGACGTATATTTGTCCACTTTATCAGGTGAGACTCTCTCTCTCTCTCGTTCGTTCGTTCGTTCGTATTTTTAACTGATAATGACCGGCCTTGTAAGCAGGTGAGGGTGGTCACAGGTTGCTAGGTAGTTTGGTTAGGGTGTCGAGGGATCCTTGACCTAGATTTCGTTAGTTGGTCCCATACCAGTATTTCGGCCTTGTTGATACCACGGGGCCATATGTCCAATTGTTGGTACCACGGAGCCTAATGTTCAGTTGTTGGTACCACTGAGCCAGATGTCCAGTTGTTGGTACCACGGAGCTGGTTGTTGGTTGCTAGGGAGGGTAGACTCACTTGACTGGTTGCTTGTACCCCCTGTAGTCTGGCCCTCGCTATCTGGTTTATAGAGAGCCCGACTCTCAATTCAATTTTTAAGCTTCTGCCTCCCCTTTCCTCCTCTAACCACCCTTAAACACTTAATGACTGATTCTCATCCGTCCCTAACCCTTGAACATTACGTAACCGACCCTCAACACCCTCCCCGCGGTCTCCTTCCCCAGTCCAGTGAACAAGTAGTAACTGTCTCTCACCGCTCCCCTCCCTTGAACATTTAGATTTTAGAAGCTGGCTCTTACCCCTCCCTCCCCCTCCTGTCCCCTCTCCTCCCCTCCCTTCGTGAATACTTCGATACACAAGAGGTAATGTGACCGCCACTACACTTTGCCGCCTTTCACATCCCCATTTGTAAATTTAGGTGTTCTTTCTTCAGTTGGATCAACACTGGGCTAGCCCCTGCACTTGAACTGATGATCGTAGACCCAAGAGGGGGTGAATAAGGGGAAAAACTCTCGTGTGTGTCGCGAAGCAAGACAGCCGCCTGGGTGTGGTCTATCTTGCACATAAAAATACTCCGTGACAAAAGTTATTGTTGTCTCTTAATTATTTGTGACGTAGCAGCTGAGGATCTGTATAAATGTAGTGGCCATCCCATGACCCAAGTCGTCCTAAGAGAAATGCAGTAGCAACCTTAGAAATCCTCAAAGAAACAATATCGCCAATCTCTTGTATTATTCGCCAGTTCGTTTGTCCCGGATGTTATGTTGTTTACTATCTGAACTAGCGATAGTCCGGCAGATAAATGGGGAAATTCCTTTGACTCTAAAATGGCGGTAATAGCTTTTTCTTTTTTTAATCATAGTCTGCAGCGTATTTAAATATTTCCAGGTGGGTGTAGAGCTCTCACCCTTCGGCAGCTTGAAATATTGATGATTATTTAGAGGTACCCTTAGTATTTTAAATCACAAATATTTAAATCGTACTGACTCATGAAATATAAACATTTAATCATCATGTTGGCATGGAATGATGAAGTAACAATGAATTTTACTCATATATCATCTCATGTATTGTCTCGTAGCAGTTTGGCACTTCTATCACATTTGCTGACTCGACATTTTACACACAAAAAAAACATAATCTTGGAATGCTATTATCAGAATATGAGTTGCATTCATAATCAAAATCCAGTCATGCATTATTCAGTCATTATCATTATTGCCATCATCAATATTAACATCATCATATTCTGCAGACACGGTATGCAAGCTTACAGTATATTAATCATAAAAAGTTTCGCCTCTTGATTTCACACAAGAGAAAGTAAACCTACAAAACAGTCCTGTTGATTTAACGTGATTGATACAAAAGGGCACAGACAAAATGTTCTTGTGGCGTAGACTATCACAAAGGGGTGGGTACATTAAGAAGGGTTTAGGAACTTGAAGGTTAGTGAGGAGGCGCAAATCTGGCAAGGGGTTGTTGTCGGCCACACGCCAAGTTGGCAGGCATGCACACAACCTGTTGGTCCGTCTCACACACTGTTTTGGGGTTTTATTCTTTACTATTTACTAGACTGTATTGTGCAGTTAAAACCCCACAGTGAGGTAATTTAGGAAGATAAGAACAATTAAACATCGATTGAAAACCTTATCAACAATAGGCTTCCTGTTTGTAAGGAATGGGATATTTCAATATTTGAGTGATTATTTAATTCAACAAAATTGTATTTAAAGACAGCATGAATTATAATGCACTATTAGGTAACTTTGTACATTATAAGGTGCGAAACTACAGTAAAAGATAATGGGGAATAAACATGCCTAGATAAGAGTTTATGAAAAGTGACAAATGATTGGCTCTATCGCTACTAGAGAGAGATTGTCTGAGAAAGCAGAGCGTATACTGTAGTCAGGTCCTGGCACAGGCAGTAGTCCGCATTTATTCCAAATCCATGTGTGTGAGGTATTACGTCTTGGCGTACAGTGTTGCTTCAAATAAACTTCACACAGTTCACTGAACAGCCTAACCTAATCTAACGTTTCCTGGTTCTATTAAACCCAATTTTACTTCATATTGTGAGGCGCATAATGGAGGTTCTTGATGTCCTT